TGGGAGCAGTTAGGTGTCGATGAGGCTGGCAGTGGAGTGGTTAGGGGCAATCAGGCAGGCAAGCAGACAGGCGAGCGGTTGGGAGCCAGCAATCCTGGATTGTGAGAGGGATGACCAACTGCCTGTTTAGTGGGATCGGGCCTAAACAGGCAGTTGGACATCTTTCAAGGAGTCCCAGATTGGAGAGGGTGCATGCTGGGCTGAGGACACCCCACCCGCCTCCATGCACGAATTTCATGCACCGGGCCTCTAGTATATATATAATTTTACATTTGTACTTTTAAATTAGTTATCACATTAATATATTGGGATGTATGGTTTTGTAAAATATTGGTGCAACTTAAGTATCAGATTATAATGTTAAGATTATTTGCTTTGTTTTGTTCAAACAGGTCTAATTTCAGTAGTTCACTAATCTTTTCAAGGTATTCTACTTACTCATTAACTTGGTAAATATTAAGTTCTTTCTATATTGCAGACAATAAGCAATAAAAATGGATGAGGCATGCCCTGTCCTCAAAGAAAATGGTTATCAAAGCCATTGGTCACTGATATGGTTATCATCCACACTGACATGAAAGTTATTGGAATAGTTCTTTACTACCACTATTGTTAATATATTAAAATCTGTAATTTTCAGGGTAATGTAAAAGTTGTAATGTAGTTTAGATAAAGTTATGTTTTGGGAAAAGGTCTTTTGCTATACATCAGCGGTTCTCAACCTGTGGGTCGCGACCCCTTTGGGGGTCGAACAACCCTTTCACAGGGGTCGCCTAAGACCATCGGAAAACACATATATAATTACATATTGTTTTTGTGATTAATCACTATGCTTTAATTATGTTCAATTTGTAACAGTGAAATTGGGGGTCACCACAGCATGAGGAGCTGTATTAAAGGGTCGCGGCATTCGGAAGGTTGAGAACCACTGCTATACATGTTGTCTAGTTGTCTCTTATATTTGGTTAGATTGACTGTTGTTACGATAGATAAGTTAAATGTGCCAGGAAGTTAGGTGTCGGCAGAGTGGGAATAGTACGTGTAGAATAACTTTTCATTAGCAGTATGAATATTGAATACTTCAAAGAAGCCTTGAGTCTTGAATATTTCATTGCATTTTTGATGCTTCTTTAGTAGTCTAGTACTTTTTATAAATTTCAGGATTTGGTAGTTATTTTATATGAGTAGTGGGAACTGACTCAAAGAAATGATTTATTACACAGTTTATCAGCAATTCATGGTATTTGGGATGATTACTATATATAAACTTTGAGGAAGTTTTCAAAGTTTAATTTTCATTATTATAGTGTTAAGATTTATTATAAAGTTTTTTTTTTTTTTTTTAAATATATTTTATTGATTTTTCACAGAGAGGAAGGGAGAGAGACAGAGAGTCAGAAACATCGATGAGAGAGAAACATCGATTAGCTGCCTCCTGCACATCTCCTACCAGGGGTGTGCCCGCAACCCAGGTACATGCCCTTGACCGGAATCGAACCTGGGACCTTTCGGTCCGCAGGCCGACGCTCTATCCACTGAGCCAAACCGGTTTGGGCTATTATAAAGTTTTTTTAGCAGTTCATGCTATTCGGGGTAGTTACCATCTATAATGCTGAGGAAGGGGCTATATCCAAAGCTACCTGACACATTGGGTTCATGTGTGATAGCAAAGAGGTCCATCAGGAAAATGGGATCCTTAGGCTCTACATCCCTCATGAAGCAGAATATCCTGATTTTAGCTCTAGGGAGCTCCCCATGGTCCCTATTCTGGCTCTACGGCCCATCTGGGGAGCTCGACTCCCTGTGTGTTGAGGATCTGGGCTTGTGGCCACGGATTCAGGATTGACCTTTGGCCTTCCATGCCAGTCCTCCCACAGCTGCCAGCTCTGTACTGGAACCATGAACACAAATTTTCAATTTTTCTTGGGTGTAAGCCTAGGTGTGAAATTCCCTGGTCATTTTTAACATTTTTAGGGACTGCCAAACTTTTCTTCTAAAGGGATTGTCACATTGTTATACTATTCCATCAACAGTGAATGAAGGTTCCTATTTTCTTCCACATCTACGCTAACACTTGTTATTGTTTGTCTTTTTTATTTTAGTTACCAGAGGCCCGGTGCATGAAATCTGTGCACAGGTAGGGTCCCTAGGCTTGGCTGGCAATCAGGGCCAATCTGTGGGACCACTGGCAGGGCAATTGGGGGGCCCCTGCTGCTACCCGTCTTGGATGGCCTGGGGCCTGCGGGCTGGGAGCAGTTCCTGCGTTGAGTGTCTTCCCCCTGGTGGTCAGTGCGTGTCATAGTGACCAGTTGTTCTACCTGTCATTCTGCTGTTTGGTTGATTAGCATATTAGGCTTTTATTGTATAGGATCTTAGTGGTTGTGAAGTAGTATCTTGTGGTTTTGGTTCACTGCTGATTGTATTCATGATTTTCAGTTTTATAGCCCCATCTGAGCTTTATTCTTTTTAAGACATCATTTCTCCCCTATGTGAAATGAGGTAATTTAATTAAATAATCACTAAGCAGTTCTAGCTCTGAAGTTCTAATTTTTAATCAACTAGGTCTGGTTCCATTCTTTTCTCCTTGAAGGCCTTTCCCCTCCCCTCAACTGTTCATTCTTATGCTGTAGATGTCTAGATTTATTTTTTATTCACTTTTTATATATTTCATTATGTTACTGTGTACAGACTAACTTTTGACATGAAGGTAATGCTGGATATTTTTGTGTGTCCCTTTAAGAAAAGGGACAAATCTTTAGGATGCTGGTTATACTATTATACCGAGTTTATTGTAACAACACATAAAAATAACTCATTTTACTGCATAATTATGCATTTTCATTGTTACTTACAGTTAGTGTGTGCTTTTTATATTTTTTGTCTTTTTACTATTGCAAATCCTGTTAGCAACTAATTTTCATTAAAAACTAATTATTATAAATAAGTTGTTTTGCTTCTAATTCTGTATTTTTTCTATATGAGATGCTAATTCAAGAGTATTTGTTAAGTGTTACAGTACATATTATATTTACTTTGTTTTTCATTGTCGGACTTTTTAAAAAAGAGATGGCACTGTATGTTTATCTTTTCATTGAATGTGTTGTATAATTCATCTTATTCAAGTTGACATTTCCTTCAGCTAAAATTTCTAACAGTGCTTACTGTTTCATACAGTTTTAACTGCTTCAGACTGTTAGTTTGCAGTGTTCAAAACTTTTATTCCATTTCTGAACATTTTAACTATCCTTGCTGAAAGCAGCCTCAATTCATAGTGTGCTAGTTTTCCTTTTTCTAGATGAAGTATATGTAATCTTGGTCAAGGGTTGTTGACAAGGTATTAGGTTATATAGGTATTGTAAATCTATGTACCTTATTGCTGTAATTTAAAGGAAAGAGTTGAAAATTGGTTATATTGAAATAATTATTTTTGATGTGGTAGATAGTCTCTCTTTTATTATAATTTACTGGAGTCCTGATGCACGAAAATTAGTGCAAGAGTAGGCCTTCCTTCCTCTGGCTGCTCGCACCAGCTTCCCTCTGGCATCCGGGACCCAGCTTCCGGCACTGGTTTCCGTGTGGCACCTGGGACCTGGGCTTCCCTCCTCTGGCTGCCTGTAGGCACCCGAGACCCAGGCTCCCTCACACCACCCCCCGCTCCAGCCCCCTTTTTTTTTCTTTGTCAGGAAGGACGTCCGGAATAATGTTGAGAAGACGAAGTCTGGTCTTTTTGTGTACATAATGTAAGTTGGAGGCATATTACCCTGTTATTATTACAGATATTTGTTTGAATGTTCTCTTAGAAGCATCTCTGGACAACATGTAAATTTAGTAAAAACTTCAGAAATATTACAGAATAATATGTAGTTTCTCCAAAGTTCTTTGCAGTTCTGCAAGTAGCCAGCAGGGGATCTCCTTTACACCTACTTTCCATCTGAGTATAGTTAATGATAGTGTCTGTGATTATACTCTTGGGGCATTTTATAGAATATGAAAAAGTGGCTTGAGAGACCTGTTAGCTGGATAATCTGTTAAGATAAAACATTATCTGTAGGCACACTCTAGAAATAGTTGGAGGTTAGGCATATTTTAATAATCATGTTTTGTAATTAGTGGTAATAATTACAAATTTCAGAATTTTTAATGGACCTTTCAGAAGAAATATGAAATGCTGAAATTGCACAGTGCCCAGAAGTTCTTTGTATACTTAATGTTGCTTAGAATAAGTCTTCAAAGGGATTGAAGGTGGAATAACTTAATTTTTAAGGTTGATCATTTAAGTGTTAGAAACATATTTTCATTTTCTCAATTCTGTTTCTTTTTGTCACTTGTCTTAATAGCAGGACTTAGAGGAATTAATATATTAATATATTAACTAATGTATTACTATCATTTTTTTGATAGTAAATTAGATAGGACCTACCTTTGAAATGCAGGTTTCTCTGAAAGTATATAATTCTAACGTCCTATTCCATAAAATTATTTTGTTCCCTGAAAACTGACTTTATAGGCAAGGATTTGCCATTGTAAGTTTGATGAAGGATTAAGGGCATAATAGCTTTTTGAAACCATTTGGAAGTAGCTTAATACTTTCTAAGAAATTGATTATTGATTTATGTTTATTACATGAAAGTTATTTTGAAAATTAGAATTTTTAAACATGTTTTACTATGGCATGTAGCATTTATTGTTAATCTTAGAGATAGGAAAGTTCATGCTTTATAAACCCAAGGAATAAAAAATAATAATGAAAGTTAAATGTTGGGGTTAAGCTGCTTTTGCATGTTGTTGGAAAATAGTAATTCTTTGTTTCGTATTCCTGTGTGTCAGTATTTTCTGTTTGAGATGTCTGTCTTTTACCTGATTGGAAATAATTGGAGCAGAAATATCATATTTAGTTCTCTGCAATGTTTTATGTAAAATATTCTGTTACATTGATTTTTCTCATTAAAGCAAATATAGTGTTCAGACATTTTAGGGAATGCTTATAAAATTTTTGAGTGTGATCTGCTCTTTTTAAATATAAACATAAGAGGAGTGATTTCTGTTCCAAATTTTCTGGGTTACAAATCTCAGCTCAACAATTATATTCATACACAAAAGGGAAAAGATATAACATTTTAGGATATATTTGAATATTCTTTTTGTGTACATAATGTAAGTTGAAGGCAAAATACATTATTAGGATTCTTCTTGATGTAGTTCATATTCTTTAAGACACAAAATGATATGAATAGTGATTTATTAAAGTTAATATCTACAATGTACACAATGTAGTCAGTTGTTTATATTAATAGAAAAGATGTGCATTTTAGCAGATAATAAAACACTAAGAATTAAATATAGAAATGGCAGCCTTAAAATTAGTCACAAAAAGAACAGGGCTGTGAAAGAAATACTGTAAATTTCTTAATTCTGACTTAATGTCAAAATGAATAAAAAAATGTTGGTGTTTGGGAAGTGGAAAAAGACATTGGAACATATTTAGTGTGCAGCTGTTGTAGAGCAAATTGAAACTGACGTATTCCATCCTGTGCTTATTAAAACTTTGTCTCTGTGAACATTTGGATCTTTTCTTTTTGTTTTAGATATTTGGTTTCCAGGCAGGACTGACGTCTTTGGATTGTAGGGGATCTTACTGCTTACCTGTACCAATTATTCCCTCTTTCAGTACTGCTCTGTATGTTAAACTTCTGAAACTACCCACATGCTGGTAAGTATGTTGAAATGTGGTTTATGGTAATTTTTATTTATTATCTTAGGAGGGAAAAGCTAGTTGAATCTGTTTTATGTCAGTGTGTTGGTTTTATACAAAACCTTGGGAAAATATCTGAATTTATTGTCTTTTAAGGAGACACTAAAAAATCTCTTTAATATTTGTGTATTTGGTTATAATATCTTTTGTGGTAGTCATAACTGTTGTCCGGGTTATAATTGCTAATCCATGTTGGAGCTATAGTCAAATGTTGCTGCTTCATAATGTAATAGGAACTGCAAGGGCAAATACATTTTTTTTTCTCTCTTTGAGAGAATACAGACAAAGAGTAACGAAACGTTACATGTTAATATTAAGGCCAAAGTATTTATCAACTAAATAACAATTTTATGTGTATTCATAGCCATTACATACATTTAAAATATTTGACATATATATGTGTAATCATTGCATTTGGAAGAAATCAGTTTTAATATTATTTATCATTCAGTATTGGGTTACTTTATTTGGAGGTCATGTTTTCCTAAACTCAGTAACTTATAGCAAAAAAGCCAATAGTTACTTATCATAACCATTTTTTAGATGAAAGCAATACTTTTAATATATTCAAGAAATAATTGTTTAAATATACGAGATAAGATTTAAATATATGAAATTATATTCTAATATTTCTACATTTTAAAATTGAGATTATTTCAATTATTTGAAATATATCTTTGCTTTCTCATCCTAATTAGTAAGCTTATTTTTATAGGGTGCGTTTTAATTAGTTATTTTGAAAAGCAACATAACTTTCAGAAAATTGATACTTTTTATATATCAAGTCACTTGCTGATGATGTTTCTTTAATAATATATAACTTTTAGAATGAAATTTTTAAAGCAAATGCTCACATTTTCAAAGAAATTTACTACTGATCCAGAAATTTAAAAATACAGAAATTGCAGTTAATTAAGTTTTGGAACCAGTTCTCCTATTAAATGAAAACATTATTAAATGATTATTCTTATTTTTACTTGATAGTTTAAATTTTGTGCTAATCATTCACATTCCTCATATATCATTTATTATGTTGTTTAGAGATTTACGTTTTAAACATTTTATTTGTGTATACATAGCATGTTGTATTTGAGTGAAGTTTTATATTCTAATTTATTAAGAAATACCGTACGATATGTCCTGGTTGATATGTTGATATCAACTTTAATAGATATTTGTGAATACTGTTTTCTCAATTGTGTGTTGATTTATTATCCATAACACTGAAATTTTATTAGAAACAGTGCAGTTTATTATAAAAGTTGTTTAACAACTTTTAAAAATGAAAACCCAAAATGAATTATAGCCTTTATATGAAAAATATTGAATATTTAAATAGGTAAGGTTTATTTTAAGGATGTATAGGGCTTACTATAAATATTGTTAGATGTGATTTAAAATATGTCTGCTAACATCTGAAAGAAAATATTCCAATTTAATACTAAAAGCATAAGATCACAGAAAGCAAATATTTGTTTGGATATGATTTGCTTCTTTTTTTTTGTAGTTAAGACCACTTCTCATTATTTCAGTGATATTTTGCTACATTTTACAGAAATATATTGCTTTTAAATAATTTCTTCAAATTGTTTCCCTTAATAAATAGAATGTAAACTGTAATCTGTTGTTAGCAATTCTAAATTGAAAGTAGTAAATACAAGTCTTAATAAATTGAGATATATCTTAGCCAAATTAAGCAAATAAAGTACAGATAAAATACATCAAGTAGTGCTGGAATTAAATAAAAATCATATGGAAACTGAGAGTTTTATTTAACTGATGCAATAAGTGAGGATTTTTTTAGTAAGGCTCCCTGGTTATGTCATTAAATGTCAACCCTGTTCCCATTCATGGTCTCTCCCTTCCTCAGATTATATAAGCTGCTTTCATTTGGATTTTTAAAATTCACATTTCAGTTTCTTAAAATACATATATGATGCTGTGTATATATTTCATTCAATAAAGAGAAGAGCATATTTAGCACAGGCCACAGCTTTTTTAAAAAAAAACATTTTATTCATTTTTTACAGAGAGAGAGGGAGAGGGATAGAGAGTTAGAAACATCGATGAGAGAGAAACATCCATCAGCTGCCTCCTGCACACCCCTACTGGGAATATGGCTGCAACCAAGGTACATGCCCTTGACCGGAATCGAACTTGGGACCCTTCAGTCTGCAGGCCGATGCTCTATCCACTAATTCAAACCGGTTAGGGCCAGGCCACAGCTTTTGAAACAAGGACATTTTATAGCTCATTGAAAAAAAATTTAGTTGCTGTGTTTGAGTTAGCATTGTAAATCAGCAAGATACCCTATGCTTGTTTAAAAATATTTTTAATTTCAGTGTTTAATTGTGTATAAAGTTTCAGACTACCATTTATTTTAATTAGGCTTGCTAATAAATATATGGTTTAAGTAACATTGAAAATAAATTATCCATCTCTCATAAATGTTTCTATTTTAGTCTCAATGAATAAGCTTTTAGTAAATTTCAGTTTCTTAGCATTTATTCTTTCAAAATATTTTGTCTTTCATTCTATATTACATAATTCTAAATATATTAAAATAAACTTTTAACAAATTTTTCATTATTGTTTATATCAGGTTAACATTTAGTTCTTTTAGCTCCTAAGAATAGGAGTGAAATATGTAGGATATGGTGGAAATGACACAGTGATCAATATTTATAAGAGCAGTATTGAGCAATTAATGTAAACTTTAATTTACCTCTTTAAAAAAAGATGTTTAATAAGGACAGTGAAGAGTTAGTTTAAGGACAGTAAGTAACATAAATTCATTATCATTAGCAGAATTATGCATTGGTCTCCTGTAGGTAGTTATATTTAAAATTTCTACAATGGGTAAGTAATACCTTTAGGCTTTAATTTTTACTTATTTACTTTTTATTATTTTTAAAAATCCTCACTTAAGGATGTACTTTTTGTTGATTTTTAGAGAGAGCGGCAGGGTGGGGGAGGGTGAGAGATTAACACCGATGTGATAGAGAAACATAGATTTGTTGCCTCCCATACACATCCTGACCAAGATGGAACCTGCAACCTAGGAATGTGCCTTGACCAGGAATTGAACCTATAACCTTTTGGTGCACAGGATGACTCTCCAACCAACTTACCGCATGGCCAGAGCCCTTTAGGCTTTTAGATGCATTCTTAGCCTTACCATTTTTTTCACAACACAGAAAATGATAAGTATTTCAACTCTATTTTAAAAACTTTTTAATTGAGATATTAATATTGTACTGGAAAAATACAAACATTACGGTATTTCATAATTGAACTGATCCTTGGTAGTCAGTTGAAAGACCAAGAAATAGAGTATTATTAACAATTCCAAAGCCTCTCCTTTACACCCTCTTCCAAGGTTAACCATTATCCTGATTTCTAATAGAATAGTTTTTTTCTGTTCTTGGATTTGATATTATTGGAATCATTTAACATATTTCTTTTGATTGGCTTCTGTCACTCAAAATAATGTTTGTGAGATTCATCCATTAGATTGTTTGCTCTTGTCAATACACAGTATTCTATTACATGAACATGGGCAATTTATATGTTCTTTATCTACAATTTTAATTAAGAATATGTACCTGAAGTTTGTGTCAATTTCTTTTTTATTTCTTTGCCATTTTCTCTTTTCCTTAAGAAGCTTCAATTGTATTAGAGGAGATTAGATGTCATTCATTAAATATGTTTTGATTTTCTTCATTTTGATAGGCATTGCACTTTTTGTTGGGATTGGGAAAAGACTAAGGTAGAATGCAAGGAGGTAAGAGATTTTCCTTTCCCTGACCATGAAAACTTTCAGTCTAGTAAGGGAGAGGACTAAACGCATATGAAATTAGTGGTCTTTAAATTACAAAATTGAGACTTAAGCACAATGTTCTGTTACTTTAAAGAAATTAGAAAATTTCCCTGGGACATCAGAAATGGCTTCAGAGAAGTTGGGCTTTAATGGCTGAATCAGATAGATATTCGTGTATTGAGAGGTTGGTGTGGTGTGGAGACTTCTGGGGGATAATACTGTCTGAACAAAGTCAGGGTTAGTCCATTGGATCTGTGCATGCATATAGTGGGGGAGGAATTTGAAAAGTTATTTTGGACCTTGACTTAGACATGAATAAAGATTCTAAGCTTTTTAATATGAACACTTAAAAATAGTTAAACCAGTTTCAAGTATTCCTTAGCCCCATTTCTTCCTGATGAGGGTTGTTAACTGCAACCATAATACAGTCTTAAATTCACTTTCTCTTATAATTGAGGGTTCAGAAATGTACTTTATTCAGATGGGTAATAATGCAACATACTTTGGAAGTACAGAGAAAAATTACTTTGGTTTAGAACGTTATGGAGAACATAAAGAAGGTAACTTTTAGCAGGTTATTAAAGAGTGGGTAAAATATAAAAGATAATTCTGTACTTTCTGTACATTGTTGGATTCTTAGTTTAATGAACTTTTTGTGACAACTTTGTGAGATAAGATGATAGTCCCTCTTATAAAACTAAAACTCAGAGCGGTTATGTAACTTGTCCAAAATCACACAGTGGCTGAACAAGGAATCTTTTAAAATACATATATATTTTTATTGATTTCAGAGAGGAAGGGAGACAGAAAGAGAGATAGAAACATCAATGATGAGAGAGAATCATTGATTGGCTACCTCCTGCACGCCCCATACTGTGGATCAAGCCCACAACCTGGGCATGTGCCCTGACTGGGAATCAGACTGTGACCTCCTAGTTCATAGGTCATTGCTCAACCACTGAGCCACGGTGGCCGAGCTGAACAAGGATTCTCATGAAGGGTTATCTGGTTCCCAAGTCCTTGATCTCTTTCTTACCTGGAGGAGAAAAGACATACATTATGTTGTGTTAATCATCTTTGAAGGCTGTACCATTTTACATTTCCACCAGCAACGCACAAATGTCCAATTTCTCTACAT